CGTCATTTACTTTCAGTTATTTACATTCATGTCTCTACTTTACGTCATTTATTTATGTCATTTACTTTCTGTAATGAGTAGCTAATTTCATTAGTACGGGTGTAGGGTAAAGGGTGAAATGTTAAACCGAATGAAAGTGGACATTCTTTCGCAATAACAATGTTCCACTATTTCATTCAAGTTTTATAAAACCAAGCACACTTCTTGACGAGTTGATCACTTTGAAAGTGTTAAAGTGCCATGGACTTAGAAATAAGCCATGATAAGCACGTCAGCTTGAATGATATGAGAGGTAGACTTGAGAAAGTTGCCGACAAGGAGACTTGTCATTTATGTTTTTCAACTTGAGCTCCCGACGGGTTGGTCACTCTCTAAAAGTGTCAAAGTGTGATAGATTCAGAGATGAATTATCAAGAACACGCCAACTTGAATGATATGGGAATCAACTCGAAAGAGTGATTTTTAACAAAGAGATTTGTTTAGCCATATATCTTGAAGACACCATTTTGTCACTATCCCTGGTCCGAACACCACATAGAGATATGGGTGCAAAGCTATAATATAGTGCAAAGCTATAATATAGTGCAAAGGTGAAGTCCAAGAGGAATACTTTCAAGATAAATGGTGGGACCGGTCCTTCCACAGTTTTGTCTGCTGGATTTCGTGTTTACGTTTCACCCCAAATCTTACACCCGTGCTAACTTTATTATTCTATTTATTATTCTGCTTTATTATTCTGTTATATTACATGTGTTAACTCGGAATCAAACTAAAGTCTTCGTTTTCGTCATCTGAAATCATCTCTTTTATTGGACTCTAATCTAACTTTGACTACAGTCCCTGTGGACGATAATCCGGTACTTGTACCACTCATTACTTGGAAAGACGACGTTGTGCCGTATTGTATACTTGCTTTGTGGCCCAATTTCATTAAGTCTAAAGGTAAAGGATTTGACCGACCAAGTTTTTGGCGCCACAGCCTTGTCTGCTGGATTTCGTGTTTACGTTTCACCCCAAATCTTACACCCGTGCTACCTTTATTATTCTGCTTTATTACTCTGCTTTATTATTCCGCTTTATTATTCTGTTATATTACCTGTGTTAACTCGAAATCAAACTAAAATCTTTGTTTTCGTCATCTGAAATCTTTTCTTTTATTGGACTCTTATTTAACTTTTGCTCCAATCCCTGTGGACGATATTCCGGTACTTGTACCACTTTATTACTTGGAAAGACGACGTTGGGCCGTATTGTATACTTGCTTTGTGGCCCAATTTCATTAAGTCTAAAGGTAAAGGATTTGACCGACCAAGTTTTTGGCGCCGCTGCCGAGGACTGGCAAGCTTAAAGTTTTCTTTTGAGAAGAGTAAAAGATTTGATTTTTCTTGTACCTGTTTTTGAAAAGTGGTGTATGCCAAGAACACATCGCGGGGAATTTTTCGAATTTGATCCAGACATTGAGAGAACGTTTCACCATAGAAGGAGGGCTCAAAGAGCATTTCAGGCTCTACTCCCTCCTAACATGGAGTTACCTGCTCCCAATATTCCGGAAGCACCACGTTTGGAAAACCAACCGCCAATTTTTGGGCAAATACCACCTTTTCCAAATTTTCATCAAGGAAACCCACATCATGAGAATAAGAATAATTTGGACACAGAATCAGACCCTACTGAGCAACAAAGGGCGCAAACTACAAATTATCATTAATCTGGCAAATTCAAAAAATGGACGGATCATGGATTATGCTATACCAGACTTTGAGCAATTAAATTCTGGGATAGTTAGACCACACATGACCGCTCTCCATTTCGAGCTAAAACCGATAATGTTTCATATGTTACAGACTAATGGTCAATTTGCTGGACTGCCCTCAAATGACCCCCATTCTCATTTAAAGTCTTTTATGGAAATCACAGATGCCTTCCTGATCCCAGGAGTGTTAAATGACGCTCTCAGACTTACCTTATTTCCATTTTCATTACGGGATCGGGCAAAAGCATGGTTTAACTCTTTAACACCAGGATCTGTGCCATCATGGGGTAACATGGCAGAGAAATTTTTGCGAAAATATTTCCCACCGACAAGGAACACCAAATCCAGAAACGAAATCTGTCTTTTTAAACAACTGGATGATGAAGCTGTTCCTGACGCGTGGGAGAGGTTTAAAGAGCTGTTGAGAAAATGCCCACACCATGGCGTTCCGTATTGTATTCAACTCGAGACGTTTTACAATGGGTTAAGTCCCATGGCAAAACAAATGCTCGACGCAACTGCAGGCGGAGCCTTTACAGCCAGTACCTACAATGAGGGATACGTAATCCTAGAAAAAATATCAGCAAACAATGGGCATTGGGCTGACCCACGTGCCCAGACACAGAAAAAGACTGCTGGAATACATGAGGTGGATGCATACACTACATTAACAGCTCAGCTCACCTCCATGACCAATTTATTGAAAAATTTAACTTCTGGTCAGGGAGTACAGCAAGCTGCTAACACATCTGTTCCAACAGTCCTATCTGTGCAATGTGTGTGCTGTGGTGGGGATCATTCATATGAACATTGTTCTCATAATTCTGAATCAGTAAATTATGTTCAAAACAGATCTAATCCCTACTCTAACTCATACAATGTCAGTTGGAGACAACACCCGACTTTTCTTGGACCAGTCCCAGCCTTAATCCACTAGTCCATAAGCAACAAGGAACTTCTAATTTCCAACCACAACATCATGCAAATAGTTCCAACTCTCAGAACCACCAGCAAAGTTTTCAAAATTCTCAGCCACATTTTTAGAACAAACCTCCTCCACAGGCAGAATCATCATCTTCTTTGGAAGCAATGATTA